AACATCTTTTGAGCACCTTCGCTACCCTCACGGCTAATACTACTGCGGCCAGTTCCAGCCTGGGTATTGAGACTGACTTTAGAGGGGCAACCCAGGCTTCTGTGAACAGAATACTGCTATAACTTCTTCCTCCTGGCAGAGACGAGCAACCGTAGGCCACCACTCCGTATCCCACCTTCGACGCGTCCGAAAAAACGTGTAACTCACTGTGCTCGCCTTTGTGCATTCCTGGTATGGAACGAGGGAGTCGTATATCGCCCAGCTTGGATAGGCTCAGCCACCATCCTTGCCAGGTCTTGTGATCCGCTTCGCATAGGGTCTCATCCCAAGTGACCTTTTTTCTACACAGGTCCTGCAGCAGAATCTTGCCCGGTAGTAGCCACGGGGCGACGAACCCCATTGGATCGTAAAGGCTGGCCAACGAAGACAGAATTCCTCTGCGAGTCGCTGTCGTCTCAGGTAACTGGAGTTGGAACAAGAATTCGTGTTTTTGCGAGTATGATTGCACACCAAATGCTCTATCTGTTGGTAACGAACTCTTCTGCAATTCACCGAGACTCGGCGCCCGCTCATCAACTGGGATGCCATCGATTGCATGACGATCGTTGGACAGCCACTTGATCAACTTGAACCCTCTCATGAGCAGTAACTTCGATAGATCCCTTATGTGTCGAACTTCTTCCTCGATGCTATCAAAGGATCCCAGAAAGTCGTCCACATAAAAATTATGTTCAACACACGAGCCCACCGGGGTTACGAAATGCTGAGCAAATTTGTTCACGGTCGTTTTTAACGCGAAGTTTGTACAGAACGGAGAAGATATCACGCCAAACGGGTGCATTGTCATCCGATACTCTTGAGTAGGTTCGTCTAGGTCTCCAGCCAGCCACCACCACAACCGTAGGGCATCCCTTTGCTCTTCGGGGACTCTAACCTGCATGAAAATTTCTCCAATATTAGCCGCTACTACAACTGACCCCAGCCGGAATCTGCACAGCACCTCAATCAGCGGAGTAATCAGGTCTGGGCCTTCTAATAGACGGTCATTTAGGGCAATCCCGGCCCACTTGGCAGCACAATCGGAGACAACCCGGATCTTCTGAGGTTTCTTGGGTTTTATGACAGGGTGGTGCGGAAGGTACCACAATGGTTGCCCCTTTTCGATTTCTCGCATTGCGCTTTCAATATATCCCAAGTCTAGATTGCGTTTCATGGCCTTACAGTAGGCTTCCTTCAACTGCNAGTCGATTGGATCCCGTTCGCCAGGGTAACGGCACTCCGAATTGGATTCCGTTGTGTCGTGTCGTTTCGGTGACGACAGCCAGGGCTGCTCGGTCTTCCCTCGACACAGATACCCGGTCATCTGCTATGTCGCCAAATGCGTGATTGTAATGCCGTTCCAGATCATCTTCTATGGGATTAACTGGCCGCGAGATGAAGTTGATCGAGGCTGAATAATTACCATCCTTACTGAGCGGCCCGCAGAG